TGTTCATCCTCTATCTCTAGAATTAAAGCTCTATGAGAACAGTGATCCTAAATGTCTGCTCACCACTGTTATTTCCAGCAGATGTTTGACACATTTAGTGAATAAATGGATTTCTTGGTGTACATGAGGTCAAAACATACCAAGAAAGTCAATCACTCTCTCTCCATACACACACACGTGCGAGTGCACTCACACACATGCATGTGCATTTACCCGCACTTCAGAGTTGTTAGCTGTCATCAAGTAGACCCCCAACTCCTGGCCACTACAGGCACAACGGAATGAACCACTGCCCAGTTCTGCACTATCCCTATGATTGGTTGTATACCAGATCTTTGTGATCCATAGGATTTTATTTGCTGATTTTTGGAAGTAGATCGTCATGCCTTTCTTCCTAGTTCATCTTAGTCTGGAACCTCCACTGAAACCTGCTCTGCATCATAGCAACAAGCAAGTTTCCACTGACATGGTTGGTGGCTGAGTATGAGGTGCATTTGCTGGAAATCAAACCAGGTCTCTTGCATGGAATGTGAGAATTCTACCACTGAACCACCACGGACCCTGCACTACAAACTAGGTATTTCTTTTTTTTTTTTTTTTTTAAGTATATTATTCTAAACCAGTGGTGGAATATTTTGCTATTTTAAAGTAATATGTGTTGCAGTAAAAATCACTTTAGTCTACTCAAATTGAAGAGCTTTGATGGGGATAAAACTTAAATTAGTATTTTTTGGGGAAATACGCCAAAAGCTACCCATAAAAGTTTATTCCCACAACTTTACATCAGTTTAAAACAATCAGATGAAACAGCTTTAAACATGGTAATTTATTTGTATGCAGTTGTTTAAATCCATTGTTCAAAAATGTTCAAAAGGCACTTTAAAAAACGTATTTAAAAATACATTCTTCTGACTTAAGGTGATCACTTAAAATAAGCAAGTCACCAGACATTTTTTAAACCCATTCATGACACGTTTAAATTCCGAAACGCAAATCATTCACTGTGTAATACAACACACTGCTTAGCAGTAAGATTAGTTTCCCTCTAATAATATATTTCATGTGGGTTATTAATTTGCAGGGTCCTGCAAAGTTATTTAAACTTAATATAAACTGAATATTACAGAGGTAAGGGAGTTGAAATAGTGCACAATTCACTGCGTAACATCTTTTAGAGCTGGTTTCTCCATAGAGAATTCGTAAATTTTCTTATTCCCTTCTGTGCTAAAATTTCTACTTCAACTCTGATATATCAATGTAAATCATTTTTTAATCAACAGAGGTTACATTTTGCCTAAAATAAACCACAGGTTGTCACCTAGATTTAAGTATATTTCTGTCAGATCTATTATAGAGAAATGAGGCAAATTACTTTTATGAGAGAAAAGGGAACAAGGAGAAGGAATCCATATAACTTTTTTTATTTAATAGTTGTAGATCTATAATTAGTTTAAAATTGTAGATTTTTAAGTTAGACCAAGTATTCTAATTCTTAGATTTTTATTTTCAATCTCACAGGGAAACCGAAAGTTAGAAGGTATAAAATTATCAGTAAGTGATACAAATTCTAATCACTAAAAACAACCAAATTTACCTTGTGAAGGCAGTATTAAGGGTAGGCAGAAAATGGAAGTTAACTATAAGGAAAATAAGGAAGGGTAATAAACGCAAAGCAGCAGAAATTGTCAGAATAACAGTCTAATGAACTGAAATTTAAATAAAAAGCTAGACATGAGAAAATCTAATCAATTGAGCGATTCTTTCAAGTATAATAGTGCCTCAATCTGGTACTAATACAGTTTGATAGGCTCAAGGAAGTGAAAAATTAGTACTCAAGAACAATTAACAACAGTCAGCAAATATAATGCTCAAATCCAATTATCATACTTCAAGAAATATTAAAGATTGGTCACTTATTTTTGAATCTTACTACAGTAACAAAAACTCAGAAATTTAAGATATTTGAAAGCAAATAATCTAACTCTGGGACAAAAATCTGTTTTTTAATATATGGACTTTACACTAGAAAATACAAGCATACTGTTATTAGAAACCATAAAACTGCCTGATGTCTTGAGACCACACTAAAATCATTGATCTAAATTTCAAAGATCATCATCTAAAAGACGGTGAATATTGTAGTCATGAAATCTGATTTTATGTGCTCTAACAAAGGCTTGGAGAAGTTTGTTTTATTACGCCGCCCAAGTCAGTCAACTGATTCTTGAAAGTGGCAAAATTCTAATTGATAGTACGAATTAGCAGAGTATTCTGTGTATTATAAAACAGCATCTTGCTACCTCTACTTAAAATTTTTACTAACAACTGGGCATTTTTTGATAACACTCATTTGTGTATACTTTTAATTAATTTGTACTTAGTACTTAAAGAACCCTGCCTGCCCCAATGTGAGATTATTAAACTTGGAGAATTACAGATTTTACTGCAGCCCTGGTTATTAGTCACTCTGGAGAAGCTAAAGAATTTTGCCAAAATGAATGATTCACTGACTATCATTCAGGCATTTTACATTTAACATAATGTGATCTTGGACTACACTGTATTAAAACATGCTTTATCTAAATCTTTGAAAAATACCTTATTGGGCACTAATCTTCAGTGTGTTCCAAAGGCCATTTGCATCAGAATCACCTAGGACAATGGTTCTCAAACTTTAGCATAAATAAACTCACCTGGAGGGATCATTTAAACACCAATCACCAGGTCCCCCACCCCTAAAGTCTGGTTCAGTAGGCATAGGGTGAGACCTGAGAAGTTGCAGTTCCAAGTTCGCAGGCGATGCCGCTGCTGCCGACTGGGACCACACTTTGAGAACCACTGTCCTAGAGTAACTGGTAAGAACGCATACTCCTGGGCCCCATGCTAGATTCAGAATTTTGGGAACTGGGGTCTTGAGATCTACATTTTAACCAGTTCCCAGGCAAGAGTATTAAGAACCACAATTTGAGAATCACTATGACAATTTGGCAGGCTAATGTGAATATTATTGACCAATATGCTAATGCTAAATGACTAACCCCAGCCTAGCATGATGCAAATAATCCACCAGGCTTTGTGTATAAATCCTAGCTGTTATTTACTGGCTTTCTGACATTGGGAAAGTTACTTAGATTCTATGAACCTCAGTTTCCTCACCTGTAATATGAGAATAATACCCAATTTGTGAGGATTAACACTAATGTATACAGAGTACCTAAGCACAGCGCCTAGCATACAGTAGGCAATAAATACTAGCTATTACATATTATAAGAAATATTTCCTTCAGTATGACTTGATCAAAGTAGGTTTTTCATTCATTTAAATGGGATATTTACATTCTAAGGTAATAGAATAATAATAAAACTTTGTATTTACTGTTCCCTACTATGGGCCAGACAGTGTTCTAAGAGCCTTACATATACTCACTCATTTAATCCTCATAAAAATCCTGTTGAGGTAGGTAGCATTATTATCCTGTATTTACAGATGAGAAAACTGAGGCACAGGGAGATTAAGTAAATTGCTCAAGGTTACAAAGCTAGAAAGTGATGGAGCAAGAATTTAAATCCAGGCAGTCTGACTCTCAGGTCTAGGAATCATCACAATATTAATTTCCTATAAGTAAATTTTGAGTTCTTTGGATGTTTACCATAAACCATTTATACTTCTAGTACAGAAATATAGCATATATGGACTGCAAATAAATTTGCATACAGTTGTTCAATAAATGGAACTGAATCCTTTGATATTTTGGCAGATGATACCAACATGAAAAGAACAAAAAACAATTAACACTGGTCAGTGTTTTTACTGTGTGGAGAAAGTAATAATTAGCACTAAAATGAACATCCTCTCAAATATACCATCCAAAGAGGTCATGGTTTTGACATGTTTTGGCAAAATAAATATAAATCATTCAGCTAAGCAGCAGAGTAAATGGTGTGACAGACATGTAAAATTAGCATAACGATAAGCATAAATATAAATCATTTATAACATTAAAGAATCTTATAGAAAGTCTGTAAAATATTCTGTTATGATATACTCACATACTATCGCTAAAGTCAGTGAAAATTAAAAATTTTCTTTCCTTTTAGAAACTCTTTTAACAGAGGATCACTAAAATTAGAATTAAACATTTGTGAATGTATTTTTGAAGACAGTCTTAGATGGATATTGTTAGAATTATCCCGACAAAACTTAATAATCTCAAAATAGTAAAAGTCAGCATCAAATTTCAGGCTGTTATTCATAAATTGAGTATATGGTCTTTTAATATCTGACATTTGTTTGTTTAAGCACTACCCATTTTCTAATATTTTCAATTAAGTCTGGTCAAAGTCTTGCATTCAAATTATTTTGTCAGTGTATCTAATAGCCACCTCAGATCCTAAAAGTGAAGAATTTTAAAAAACTGCTTTAAACAAGTTATGAAAGGCACAAACAAGTTCTCATCTCTCAAAAGGAAGAGAGTAAAAGGAACTATAATTATGTAGTTGGAAACAGTTTCAAATAATCAGTTAAAAATATTACTTGTAGTTCCTGAGAGTGGCACTGATTCAAAAGCATCCCCAAATAGCATTAAGTTTACTATTTTTTGTTGTTGTGTGCCATCAAATTGATTCCAACTTATAGTGACCCTATAGCACAGAGCAGAACTGCCTTCTAGGGTTTCCAAGGAGCAGCTGGTGGACTCGAACCGCTGACTTTCTGGTTAGCTGACAAGCTCCTATAACTACTACGTCACTGGGGGGCTCCAAGTTTACTTAGTTACCAATAATTAACAATGGGTAAATCTGGGGACAAAACACTTTTAAATGCATATTTATAGAATGCTATTAATGTTTTCAGTAAATAAATATTAACAGTGGAGAAGGGTATTTAAGAATGGTTAAACATATTTAGAAAAGAGTCAATAGGGACTTGGTGGGTGAATTCATTCTAGCAAAAGATTAACCACTAATTAGAACGAAGTATATAATATAGTCAAGGCCTATGATAATTTTAAAATATGATTTTATTAATGCACTTTAGGACAAGTGCCATTCTTACTCTTTTCTGGGAAAAATACTGCCAGTTATAAATAACCACAGCAAACTTTTCATTAGACTAAAACTGTGTGTTGAGGGAGAGGAGATTTGGTTCACTTATGTCATACTGCAAATACAAAATCCTATCTTGAGTTTACAAATAACACTGAGAAACTATTTCTTTCTAAAATTTTCTTTTAAGGCAGATCTGTTTACCATCATGTGTGTTATACTAAGATGGTGCTGTTGTAGTTTTAGCAAATGTAACTGTTTTTGCTTCTCAGTGACAATAACACGTGGTCAAGAACAGGCAACAAAATCTCTTTTCTAGTTTCTCTAAGCTAGCCACCATTTAAAAGACACAAGTTCTTCATATATATATATATATTACTGTATCAAAAACACATTTTAACAGACTTCACAGCTAATTTAAAGCTTCAGTTTACAGTCATTCATATGAAAGATTTCTAATATGCAACGTTCACTGGGATTCCAGTGTTCTATATCAGAAACGTGGAAGTCCTTCTTCAGTGCAGTGTGAGATGTTTTATCTCTGTTCATGTTTTTGTTTCAAGGATTTCCCAATTTTACTTTTGGATCTTCATTTTTGTATGCTTCACTTATTTCCTTTAATATATTCCCAGGTAAGGCAGGTTGATATCTATATAAATAACCATATGGACGAAGATGATAAATGAGGTATTCTAACTCATACATAGTTGTAGGGTCAACATAGTGAAAAGAAACTGCAAGATCAGAACAGCAACCAGGACCCTAAAAAATAGTGGAAACAGACATTATTAATAAACAATTCATTGTTAACATGCAATATTCACATAATAAAGAAAACACTAATTTTAAAATAATTCAAACATTAAAACTGGTAGGGTAAAGCAGAGGCACCTAGTTTATTAGACTTGTGGAAGAAAACAAGAGTTCTCAGAGGTCCTAACGATTTGAAACCAAACATGAAATTGCCAGTATTTCTAACCAAAATAATGTTCTCTCATACTCTTTAGTTATTTCAGCAGAAAAAAAATTTTTTATTGTTGTAGTTAAATGAAGTTTACATTTCAAGTTAGTTTCCCATACAAAATTTTATACACATTGTTATGTGACCCTAATTGCTCACCCCATTCCACGACAGCACACTCCTCCTTTCCGCCCCTGATTCCCCATGACCATTCAACCAGCTCCTAACCCTCTCTGCCTTCCCCTCTCACCTCTGGACAGAAGCTGCCCCTTTGGTCTCTTGTATCTACTTGACTAAGAGGCACGCTCTTCACAAGTATTATGTCCCACAGTCTGGTCCAATCTTTGTCTGAAGAGTTGGCCTCAGGAATGGCTTTAGTTCTGGGCTGACAGAGACTCCGAGGGCCATGCTTTCCAGGGTTCCTCCAGTCTCAATCAGACCATTAAATCTGGTCTTTTGCTAGAATTTGAGTTCTGCACCCCACCTTTTTCCTGCTCCATCTGGGACTCTCTGTTGTGTTCCATCAGGGCGCTTATTGGTGATAGACGGGCACCATCTAGTTCTTCTGGTCTCAGGCGGATGGAGTCTCTGTTTTATGTGGCCCTTTGTCTCTTGGGCTAATACTTTCCTTGCGTCTTTGGTGCTCTTCATTCTCCTTTACTCCAGGTGGTTGGGACCAATTGATGCATCTTAGATGGCCACTTGCAAGCTTTTGAGACCCCAGATGCCACTCACCAAAGTAGGATGCAGAACATTTTCTTAATAAGCTTTGTTATGCCAATTGACCTAGATGTCCCCTGAAAGCATGGTCCCCAGACCCCTACCCCTGCTACTCTGTCTCTCAAAGTATTTGATTATGTACAGGAAACTTCTTAGCTTTGGTTTAGTCCAGTTTATTTCAGCAGAAAAAACTCTTGAGACTTTTTCAGATGAAAGGGGCAGCTATACAAAGGATAAGGCTCTATTTTTCCAAGTTCTGCTTTCTCTTTATAATTTTCTCATTATAATTTTTGTTTGACCCAGCCTCAGAGAGACCGCTGGAGCCTTCAATGACTATAAAAGTTTTCCCATTATGTCTGCTACCTAATACTTTACCTATACAATAACCAAACAGTATAGTGTTTCAGAGAGGAAGCTCTGGGTTTGAATCCAAACTTAGCCTACTAGAGTATAACACCTTGACAGCAAGTTACTTAACCTCTGTTAGTTTCAATTTCTCCATCTCCAAGAGATGGTTACATAAGAGAGACAATATGTATAAAGTGCCTGGGGCCTTGCTTTGTTTATAATAAATGTTACCTGTTACTGACAGGGAGCCCTGCTGGCACAATGATTAAGAGCTTTGCTGCTAACCGCAAGGCTCGCAGTTCAAATCCACAAGCCGCTCCTCAGAAACTCTATTGGGGAGTTCTACTCTGTTCTATACGATCACTATGAGTCCGAATCGACTCAATGGCAACAGATTTGGTTTTTTATTGACAGAATAATCATGTTCAGGTGGATCTCAGGTAAGCAGGTCAGATTAAAAGAAAAAAAAATGAAGTCCCTGGGTAGTGCAAACAGTTAAGTGCTCCACTACTAGATAAAAGACTGGCAGTTTGAACCCACCCAGAGGTGCCTCGGAAGACAGGCCTGTGATCTGCCTCTGAAAGGTTACAGTCTTGAACAGTCTATGGAGCAATTCTACTCTGCACACATGGGGTCACCATGAGTTGCAATCAACTGGACAGCAAACAACAAGTTATCTAATTCTCATAAATTCCTAGTAGGGTTGGTGTGAGAACACCTTTAAAACAAAACCAGGGCTTTGAACCAGTTCAGTCATGGCCAATGAAGCAAAACCAGAACCGACCAGAATTTTTTTAATTCGGGTGAGCCGGAACAGTAACTGGAATGGGAAAAATTATGGGTCAAAGTCCTGGAATGGGAGACCTGGAAGAGGCTTAGTGAGCCCCTTCAGGAGCCGTATGAGACTGGATTATTGCCAGGACTGTGGTGAGTGACTGATGCACAAAGTCACGCAGTTGGCTGCCACCTTTGAGCGAGGCACCTTATTTTTCCTGTTCTGGCTATCGATCTGGTTCACCCAAACTCTAAAAATGAAGGTCTGTTCAGGTGGTGCGTCCTCAGCCGTAACTGAACCAGGAAGAGCCAGTTTGAAGACCTTAAAAAAACAACAAAAATAGCAAAAAAGAGAAGAGAAAAGAAAAAGAGTTAGACTGATCCCAGAGTTAAATGGCCAGAAAGTGAATCTGGGGATCAGGACTGGTATCTGGAGAATGTTTCACCCACGTGACTCCAATAAAACTTCAGGCTCTATGTCTTTCCAAGGACTGAGGGAGACAGACAGCCTGGCAAGTTCCCAGAGAAGATTCACGCAGAACATTTAACAAGTCATGTTTGAAAGTACGTAGCTTACAATGCAATAAAAATTATCAGGAAATTGTCGTTTGCACTTTCTTTGCCTTCCTTGCTGATCTGTCCTTTGGAACAAACAGTGAATATGTAGCATCCTTGGACAAGTACGTAAGAAAATTATCTGGTGCCTACTTCTTACACTTTTAGAGAATAATATTAGGATAGGAACAAATAGGAAAATAGATTATTCAACCTGTGATCATCTAAACCAGCTTTGTTCAACAGATCTATCTGAGCCACCTAATACAGTTCTAAAATTTCTAGTAGTCACATGAAAAAAGTAAAAAGAAATAGATGAAATTAATTTTAATATAGTTAGCCTAATAAATCCAAAATACAGGCATACCTTGGAGATATTACAGGTTAGGTTTCAGACCACCGCAATAAAGCAAATATTGCAATAAAGTGAGTCACACAAATGTTTTGGGTTTCCAGTGCATATAAAAGTTATGTTTACACTATACTGCAGCCTGTTAAGTGTGCAATAGTATTATGTCTAAAAAAAATGTACATACCTTAATTAAAAAATACTTTATTGCTAAAAAATGCTAACCATCAAGTGAGCCTTCAGTGAGTCGTAATGTTTTTGCTGGTGGTGGGGTCTTGCCTCAATGTTGACGACTGATCTGAGTGGTGGCTGCTGAAGGTTGGGGTGGCTATGGCAATTTCATAAAGTAAGACAACAATGAAGTTTGCTGCATGGACTGACTCTTCGTTTCATGAAAGATTTCTCTGTAGCTGTGATGCTGTTTGATAGCATTTTATCCACATTAGAACTTATTTCAAAACTGGAGTCAATCCTCTCAAACCCTGCCACTGTTTTTTTCAACTAAGTTTACATATAGTATTCTAAATCCTTTCTTATTTCAACAATGTTCATGGCATCTTCACCAGAAGTAGATTTCACCTTAAGAAACCACTTTCTTTGGTCATCCATAAGAAGCAACGCCTCATCCATTAAACTTTTATCATAAGATTATAGCAATTCAGTCATATCTTCAGGTTCCACTTTGAATTCTAGTTCTCTTGCTATTTCCACAGTTACTTCCTCCACTGAAGTCCTGAACCCCTCAAAGTCATCCATGGGGGTTGGAATCAACTTCTTCCAAACTCCTGTTAATGTTGGTATTCTGACCTCCTCCCAAGAATCACAAATGTTCTCAATGGCATCTAGAATAGTGAATCCTTTCCAGAAGGTTTTCAATTTATTTTGCCCAGATCCATCCAAGGAATTACTATCTATGGCAGCTGTAGCCTTTTGAAATGTATTTCTTAAATAATAAGACTTAAAAGTCAAAATTACTCCTTGATCCATGGGCTGCATAATGGATGCTGTGTTAGCAGGCATGAAAACAACATTAATCTCCTTGTATATCTCCAACAGAGCTCTTGGGTGACCAGGTGCATTGTCAATGAGCAGTAATATTTTGAAGGGAATCTTTTCTGAGCAGTAGGTCTCAACAGTGGGCTTAAATATTCAGTAAATCATGCTGTAAACAGATGTGCTGTCATCCAGGCTTTGTTGTTCCATTTACAGACTACACGCAGAGTAGATTTAGCATAATTCTTAAGGGTCCTAGAATTTTCAGAATGGTTAACGAGCACTGGCTTCAACTTAAAGTCTTCAGCTGCATTAGCCCCTAACAAGAGAGTCAGCCTGTCCTTTGAAGCTAGGCATTGGCTTCTCCTCTCTACCTATGAAAATTCTAGATGGTACCTTCTTCAAACATAAGGCTGTTTTGTCTACACTGAAAATCTGTTGTTTAGTGTAGTCACCTTCATCAAATCTTAGCTAGATCTTCCAGATAATTTGCTGCAGTTTCTACATCAAGCACTTAGCTGCTTCACCTTGAGCTTTTATGTTATGGATATGGCTTTCTTCCTTAAACCACATGAACCAACCTCTGTTAGCTTCAAACTTTTCTTCTGCAGCTTCCTCAACTCTCTCAGCCTTCACAGAATTGAAAAGAGTTTAAGGCCTTGCTCTGGATTAGGCTCTGGCTTAAGGGAATGTTGTGGCTAGTCTGATCTACTATCTAGACTAAAACTTTCACCCTATCAGCAAAAATGCTGTTTTGCTTTCCTATCATTTGTGTGTTCCCTGGAGTAGCACTTTTAATTTCCTTCAGGAACTTACCTTTTGCATTCACAACTTGGCCAACTGTTTGGCACAAGAGGCCTAGCTTTTGGCCTATCTTGGCTTTTGACACGCCTTCCTCACTAAGCTTAATCATCCTGATATTTTGACTTAAAGTGAGAGACATGCGACTCTTCCTTTCACTTGAATACTTAAGAGGCCGTTGTAGGGTTATTAACTGGCCTTATTTCAATATTGTTCAGTCTCAGGGAATAGGGAGGCCTAAGGAGAGGGAAAGAGACGGAG